GGGGAGACACTATGGGACAAGGGGAGGGAGGACACTATGGGACAAGGGGAGTGGGAGACACTATGGGACAAGGGCAGGGGGGGACACTATGGGAGGGAAAGTGCACTATGGGACAATGGGAGGGGGGGACACTATGGGATCAGAACACTAATGGACAAGGGGAGGAGGGGTTAAAGAACACTATGGGACAGGGTAGGAGGGGTTAACAATCACTATGGGACAGGGTAGGAGGGGTTAACAATCACTATGGGACAGAGGAAAGGGGGGTTAAAGATCATTATGGGACAGGGGAGAAAAAAAAATATTCTGAACAAACTGTCCCATGGTAACTATGGAACAGTTTGTTCAGAATATTTTTTTTTCTGGGTTTCCTCCTCTAAAAACTAGGTGCGTCTTATGGTGAGGTGCGTCTTATGGAGCGAAAAATACGGTACTTACATATTCTGCATTTAAGCCACAAGTTGGACAATCACTATATTTCTGAGTACTACTTTGTATACAAGCCACAGTAGTGTGCCCCAGAAGTATCCGATTTAATTGATTTCTTAATAACAGTAACAATTTCATGCAATTTTGGATTTTCTGTTTATCCTTATTCAAACACCATTTTTTATTATCTACTCTCATGTTCTCTTTTTCACATTGTAACCACATGCTATGCATTTTCTTAAATTCATTTTCATTTTCAAACATTAGTGGATCAAAACTGCTAGACGCTGCATATTCTGCTACAATTTCCATTCTTAAAATAAAGCTAAAAGTACTTACACGATTTGTGTCTTCAGACTGCAGGCAAATCAAATGGTGTGCACCCCACTTTGAATCCTTGGTCTGGCTATCTCCGATCCTCCAGAAGTGATGGCCGGCTTACAAACTGCGTCTCACTCTGGTTGCCTCTGTAGGATCCCGCACGTCCTGGCCCTGGACGTATTGCCGAAAACGCTCACAAAAAATAAAACAAAAATTGGTTCGGTTATTTTGTCCCCTTTTATAGCTCACATGTATCTGGAGAAGACTGGATTGTTCCCCCCTTGCAAGTGAGCTTAAAAGGTGGTAGAAAATAATAACATGGCTCGCCAAATGTAATAAACGTTTAACTCGCAAGTTGGAATAAACTTGGAATTAATAATAACATTAATAACTAAAAATAATAACTTAAAATAATAACTTAAAACCCGAGTGTAAAGTCAGAGTCCACACTCCTTGCTTTCGGCAATTCAATAATATTTATTAATAAAGGCTTAATCAAACAAATAAACAATACATATACATTTAAAATAGGCTAGTATATGTTGCTACTAAAACTAACATTGACTGAATGGAAAGTAGGCTAAATTAACATAATAAAACAGGCATAGACACGTGATACAGTTACCACTCCATTGATCAGCAGCTGAGAGTAAGAGAGAGAGGGTGTGTATAGTGGGGAGAGGGGATAGAGGAGAGAGAAGGTGAAGAGAGGTAATTCAAAGAGAGAGAAAATGTGCTATTCACAGGGCTTTAAACAGGTTAGCCCCTCCTTCTGCTGGACACACCTCCCTTAGTCAATCCCTTAGGATGTAACAGAACCAGAGTGCCTCCTGGGGGAAGGGGTATTGCATTGGAAGGGAATGGAGGAGGAGTTTATCAACAACCCAACTGATTTTGCCTTGTGAAAGGCCATGTGCTTCACAGAGGACTCCATTATTGCCTTAGGGTAGAATGGGGGCTTGAATCCCTGTATTAGAACACAATAACACTTCATTGGCATACAGTTTGGCTGTTAATCACATCCCCCCACTTATTACACTAAGGCGCTTGCCGCCTTCCATGGGGTTGACCCCTGATGGACAAGCTCCACATGCAAGCGTACCTGGACTGGCTAAAGCCCTCACACGCTGTTATGGACAGATGAATTAAAATAAAATGGCTATTTACTAATGTCTATTTATTCTGTGTTCACTATGTTAAAACTGGCTGCTAGAGTAAATATTCCCTTCCCCCCCTACAATGTGTTCAGTTGCTGTTTCCTATGTAAATTCTTCATCCTGCTAACATCCCCCTTCCCATCAAGCAAACCTCATGTAACCAAAATTCCTGTGTTAACAGCTTCCTTTACTAACTCCTCCCCCACTTCCTTTGTGCCAGTTAACAGCTATATGCCACGTGTAACAAAATGGAGAATCACTGTTAAAGTAACTGAAAGAAACTACTCCACTCCCCCTTCCATCGTGTATCCAGGAGCTGGAATATAGGCGGGAGAAGTCTGTAATGACGACACTACATCCTGTAGGGGGGGGGTTAGACAAGATCCCTTAGACTGTTAACCAATTGTTGAATGTATACTGTATGTTTAAACTGTGACGTATTTTTGCTTTAAGAAGGAGCCCCCACTCCGGGGAATAAAGCATTCCTTGGTTTTTCACTGATCAGAAACTTTGTCTCCAGTGTGAATTACTTCTAGGGAAAGCGTGCACGCATTAATCAATCAATTTGGAAGGTGTAGATAGACAAATTATCAAAGTTTTCTTTGATCCAAATCAGTTGGCGCCCGAACAGGGACTGAAAGGGTTACGTTAATAAGGACGCCGTAAAATCCCAAGACAGGAGAACAAAGGATTCCCAGAGATTGGAAACGGAGCCTGATCACCTCTGCATATGGTAAATGAGTTACTTACCTATATTTTCCTTTCTTTGGATTTCTCTTATTCTCGTGCCTTCACATTCGGCTTCCTGTGGTTAACGTCTTCAGATAGGTAATATATATATATGCCCGAATGTCCCCTTTTATATAGAACCTGTCACTTGTCTATCTACAGCCTGAGTCCTGAGTGTGAGTTTTATGTGTGAAAGTGTCTGTTTGAGAATCTGTTTTACTTTCTTTTGATTATTGAGGTCGGGTTCATAGAAAACACCTGGCGATTGAATTCAGGGTGCAAAAACCTGGAGAATTAAGCCGGATTATATTAATATTTTAATATTAAATCTAGGCGTTTCTTTTATTATTGAGTTCAGGTGTGCATAATAGCCCCTAGCGGTTTTGTTTTTTTGTTTTTTTGTCCGATTTATATTAAAATTAGATCGTGGCGGTTCTTTTGTTGTTTTTAAGTTCAGTTTGGAAAAAAAGCTGGCGTAATTAATTTTAGTTTAATAAAATAATAATATTTTAATTTTTACATTTTTATTTTTTCTTTTATTTTTTTTCCTAGATCAGGATAGTAAATTTCCTGGCGGATTATTTTAGATCAGGATAGACGATATCCTGGCGTGTTTGTTTGTTGAAATAATAAAAAAGAAAACGAACAAACAAAGAGTTAAGTTAATGTTTATGTGCTTGAGTGTTTCTGTGTGTGTGATTTGAGTTATTATAAGCCGGCATTTATTTTAAGGACTTTGTGAATTAATTACATCTGTATTTTGTGCTTTTGTCTGTGTATGTCTTGTTGGGTACCATATATGTTAATTGTAATCTATACAATCTGTATCGTTACTCTCCTATTCTATCTTTTGTCCTAAGGAGAGCTGTGCTTAGGCAATCACATGGTTAAAAAACTTTGTGCTTGCAAGTCTCCTCCTCCCCCCTCCTTCTTTGTTGCTTTCTCTTGCTCTGACTGCTATGAGTATTGGCTACAGGGGGGGGGTGAATGGGTGAAATGCTTGTAAACTCAGTGAGGAATGTGAGGGAAAAAAGGTATATTTGCTGGACGAATATCCTAGTTAGGAACTTTGTGTAATCTTGTATATGTTGTTAAGTAAGAGGTTATTGGCATGTTGGAATAAGGAAAGTTAGATTTTGTTGGAACAAATGAATTGTGGAATTCATAAATGATAATGCAGAGAAAAGTACATTGCAGTTTGCATGTAATTGCAGCTATTCAGATGCTGTATTGTGGCAATCTTTATACACACAATGTGAAATTGCCAATAGTGAAATTGACAAGAAATTGTTTGTTAATAAGAAAAAACAAAAGATCAGAAATGTTATGAAACTAGTCTGTACTTACAATGCATTGATTTGTAAACGAGATGCAGGTCAAGAAAATTTAGAATCAGCAGATAAAGAAATACATTTGAATATGTTAACAGAAGACAAATCAGATTTAAATGACCAGTGTAACAAAGTAACAGAGCTGTAAAACTTAATTTGAAAATCCGTTAACAATTAATGAAAATTGTGAAATGTATTCCAGTTTATGACATGTCAGTGGATGCATTTACTAATGCTGAAATATTTGAGTCAAATTTGGACAAATATAGCCTAAATGACGAACAAAGGAATAGACTATTTAAAACATGGCTGCCGACTCAAATGCATATAGACTTATTGGTAATTTTCCTGAGGATCAGTTAATTAATGAATTTGTGAAAAAATTTCTAGATTCAACTGCAATTGTGTTAGCAAGAGAAAAGAGCACTTTGACAGAAGTAGCTTTGTTCTTGGATAACTTAAGGAGAGAAACCAATAATGAAGGGGTTAAAACGACTTGTGGATTTAGGCAGAGAAAGAAGTGCAGATTTTACAGCCCTCGTCCCCCTCCTCCTCCTTCTAGGACAGAATGTAAAAGAGTGATACAGACAGCTGAGCCCCTCCCAATTTGCTCAAATAAACGGCAGAATATAACTAAAGTTATTTGTGTTTGGTGCACATTATATAAGATCTTGCAGATATTTGATTCTAGAGTTAAAACCAGCACAAGAATAGAGATGTGTGTTTGTTTGTTTGTTTACTAACTTGTTAGTCTGTACTGGTTTTTTTTATTGTTTTTGTTAGTTTTTTCATTTTTTTTTTAATGTATGTTATATTGGTTGTATGCTATTATACAGTAACTCCAATCATTTTACAGAAGGAAAAAACAATAGATTTATTCTTTGTTGCTTCTGAGGTTGATTTAAAATCTTTGATTTAATTCATGAGAATGAGATTTTAATATCATGACTGATAATGGATTACTGTATATTGCAACGCCTGGACATACACATGTTTTGGATATACTGAAGACAAAAGGAATAATATATGGGAATGGATAAGGCTGAATTCCCCCTATCCACAGCCACGCCTACTCCTAAAGTAACATCGCGTACATCCTTACTATGCCCTTTTACTGTAGAATTTCCCGAATCCTAATGACCCATTCCACTACATGGTGTGACTTGTTTAAGCCTAAGATAAATTGGCTGATCAGGCTACCTGTATTAACAATGTCATCAACGATGAGTTAGCATCTGTGGAGAAGTATCACTTCAGGTTGTCCCAAATTTTCTTTTAACTTAAGTTTTAGTACATAGTAAGGCCCATGCCCAACAACTATATGCAGCCTTGTATAGCAGGCCACATGACATCTATTTGTACCAAGCAAGGCCTGCCTGACTCCTCATTCCTGTCTAACATTGTTGTCTCCTGCATAAGTGTAGATGGCTCTCCTTGGAGTAGCCTGTTAACTAAGCCTTGCTTTGTGGTTACCTTCACCTGTCCAATTAATCTGCTAGGTGCAGATGTCCTTCCCCCACTTGCAGGCCCCTATCACCTTATTAATTCTTTTGTTCCACACAGTGAAACCTGACCAAGAGGCAAGGGTCCTAGCTAGTTCCCCCAATACCTTTACCTGAATTATACAGGCCCCAAAGCCTGCCCAAGCTCTTACTATTCCCTAACAGGTTAAGGCTCTGGTGTCGAATGGTGCCCTGGTTCCCTGAGACTTTCCATGCAATATCCCACCTCTCCTTGTGATGGACGAATTCTGTGCAGGATAGTGTCACCCTGCAGGGATGATACTCTATTTACCTGGCCACTCTTCTGCCACTTCCCAGGGGGGGAAATGATAAGACACTGACTATTATTTTTTTAGCCTTTTCCTCATGATCTGTTCCGGATTTGCTGTCACTACAGTGGACCAAGTATCTCACCTCAACAATGTCTGCACAAGAAGCTGAGCTATAGGCTCCCATCACAGCATGCAAGATCTCTGAAGGAAGACTGAACTCAGAGGAAGCATGTGGCAACTCTCTGGCTGACCAAGTTGTTCAAGAAGTTGTAAGTGCACTAAGGGAAGTGGACAGAAAAGTGTCTGCTGAAGAAACTCCCATATTCACCATGTAAGATCCTACCCACAGACATCAAGCTCCCGAAGGAATAACAAGCAGCTACTGACCCTGGAAAGGAAAAAAAAAACCCACAAGCTGGAAACAGAAAGGGGCAACCCTTAAAGACAGGCTGTACTTCAACAATCTCAAGTTCTGCTTGCCCAAGAACATATACTCAGCAGTGGTCCAGTGGGCCTACAGAGCATCTGTCCAGAACCCTCATGAACTCTTTTGATCAATAAATACTCTGAAGTACCAGGAATTGCCTCTCTGACCAGCAGTTACTGTAAATCTTGTGACATTTGTGCCAAGGGCAACTCAGGAAGAATGGAGGAAAGCCCTAAGCATCTAGCCAAACCTCATTATCTCTTCCAGGGGAGTCAAGTCAACTACATCCAGAATGCCAAAGAGTGGCTGATTCAAATAAGGGGACCTCGTGAAACTAAAGAGAAACAAACATACTCCTTACCCTGCAGCAATCACGTCTGAGGTGCCATACGCACAGTCAAAGCTTCTTCAGGATCATCTGCTTATCTTGAGTTTGTGGTGATATTAATATTGAATGTTTAAATGATCTGAATCTGTCAGTACTAGGGTAGCATGAGACAAGATTTCTAAGATTAAGAATAAGTAAATGTGCCCTAGCCAGGGTTATTATGTCCATACACATAACACATGACAATCCCCAAGATACTCTTGACACACCTCATTCATGCTTCAGGACAAAAATGAGTACCCCTATAAAGGGTGGTTTTACCCACATATATATATATATATATATATATATATATATATATACACATATATATATATATATATATATATATATATATATATATATATATATATATTAATGCCATAGGGGTGTCAAGGGGAGTACCAAATGATTTTAAGGTAAGAAACTAAGGTTGAATCTATTCTCCCAAGCATTACAGCTAATAAAATCTGAATTGGAAGGGAAGAGGTTTATACAATAAACAGGAGACCTTTTTCTTACAGGACATGTATGACTCAGCTGAATGGGTAGGTGCCACGCACATGACTGTTAATCCCCTCAAACCACACATTAGGACTTTAAAAGACATGGTAGTCATCCCATATTTGAGGATACTAGGGCTGTAGAGACAGGTTTCTCTGACACTAACTTGTGACTTGAATGGATGAAATACAATGCTACTAAACATAAGTCTAAATGCTATGTTTGCGGAGGAGTGAGGCCTCACCCAGGTACAGTATTCTTGAACCTTCCTCCGGATATGAAGTATGCGTTTTAAGTCTCTACACTGTATTTAAACCTAAGCGGTCAGCATGTGAGTCATGGAAACTTAATACCCAATCATTACTAAAAATATTATGCCCAGACGAAGGCATTACTATATATCCCGGGAACTATACTTGTTATGGGATATATGGTGGGATAGGGCAGTTACAAACTACCTTTCAGATGACCTTCCAGAATAGAATAAGCTTGGAAATGATTTTGGCAGAAAAAGGGGGAGTATGTAAAATACTCCCAGACACCATGACATGCTGTACCTATATTCCAGATAATACAGGCCCTAATGGTAAGGTAACATTGGCAATAGAAAAGTTAAAGAGTTTGTCCAATGAACTGAAACGAAATTCTGGGGCCACAGATCCATGGGAAAGATGGTTTGGATGGATGACTGGATGGCAAGGTGCTCTGGCCCAAATAGGTGTTGCCATTTTAATAACGATAATCATCCTCGCTCTTCTTGTTTGTTGTGTGTTACCCTGTCTTAAGAAATGCCTACAAAAGACAGTTGATCAGACAATCGACCAGACCACCCCGACCTTCCTTCATCAAGAGATTGACGACATCGACCGTGATACACCACATACACCCTTACAGTCCCACCGCACTAAATCAACAGCTACTTCCTCTTAAGGACATTCAGGGATAGCGTCTGTCTCTACGGGCAGAAGTCTGTCGCGGGGAGAAGTAGTGGACAAGCTGCTACGGGTTACCCGCGCAGTGAAGTGTTCGAGGCCTGTTCAGACAGATGTGCAAGATAGCCTTTTGTTATTTTTCTATAGGGACAGTATTAGAATGAGAGATAATAGTTTTTAGTAAAAATTGCCATTTTAAGGGGGGACTGTTATGGACAGATGAATTAAAATAAAATGGCTATTTACTAATGTCTATTTATTCTGTGTTCACTATGTTAAAACTGGCTGCTAGAGTAAATATTCCCTTCCCCCCCTACAATGTGTTCAGTTGCTGTTTCCTATGTAAATTCTTCATCCTGCTAACATCCCCCTTCCCATCAAGCAAACCTCATGTAACCAAAATTCCTGTGTTAACAGCTTCCTTTACTAACTCCTCCCCCACTTCCTTTGTGCCAGTTAACAGCTATATGCCACGTGTAACAAAATGGAGAATCACTGTTAAAGTAACTGAAAGAAACTACTCACTCCCCCTCCCATCGTGTATCCAGGAGCTGGAATATAGGCGGGAGAAGTCTGTAATGACGACACTACATCCTGTAGGGGGGGTTTAGACAAGATCCCTTAGACTGTTAACCAATTGTTGAATGTATACTGTATGTTTAAACTGTGACGTATTTTTGCTTTAAGAAGGAGCCCCCACTCCGGGGAATAAAGTATTCCTTGGTTTTTCACTGATCAGAAACTTTGTCTCCGGTGTGAATTACTTCTAGGGAAAGCGTGCACGCATTAATTAATCAATTTGGAAGGTGGAGATAGACAAATTATCAAAGTTTTCTTTGATCCAAATCAACACAAGGGTAAATTACCTACTAAATTGGCTAGACTGGGCCCCGGTACGGACAGATTTGTGGATGTAGACACCTTCTTAGAAGCCCCGATTGCAATGCCCACCATTTCTACAAGGCTGACAACTTGTACACTGCTTGCCCGGCGAAGGCACCTTTGGTTGTTACTTCCGCTATGTTAAGGAGATGGTGGTCAACATTTTCCAGGTTGATTCTCTATGTTCCTAGTTGACCGTTGCTGTCGATCCCATGAACATATTGGATTCTTTGGGATGGCCTCTCTTCAACTCACGTCCCCTCACACATCCACACTCCTCAGAATCCACATTATGGAGTTCCTCAAGTGTTCGCTCCACCGCCCTCTGTATAAGGAAGTCAGGGCGAAGCTTTGGGTGGGGTGCCCTCCTCCTACACTATCGGATAAAGCGGCCATTACCCCTGACTTTGACCTGATGTTTGTAACTTTCTGACATGTTCCGGGATGGATCCGCACAAGGGCCTGGAGCAAGGGAAGCTCCTTGATATCAGTGAGCATGGCAGCTCGTAACGCACTGGACAGCAAGCTGGATGACTTGGAGGGCTGGTCGACAGCGCACTTTCAGAGTCTTTCTCCTCCTATGCCTCCCGGTGCCAGTACCGCCTGCTGGTTCCCTGTGGTTTGTTAAAGGACTGTGGTTCCTCATTCACCCGAGTTCAGTACTTCTCAGTTAAGAATCCTTCCTTATTTACCTGACTTACCAACTACGAGCAGGCTGTCTCAATTTTTCAACCATTGTGCCCTCGACTCGTTTATCAATGTTTCAAGATGGAGGGCTTTCATCTCTAAGGGATTTGCTCTGCGTGGACGTTCGGTTCTCGCGTCCAAAACTGAGGGAAGCTTTTCTCACTGTGCTGATTGATTGCGATGACAGACAATGTTCTGGTGGCTAGTCCACATTCAGCAGTTTTACCTGCCTTCATCACATTGTTGAAACCACTCATGATGGCTCTGAGAGCCAGGGGGATACGGTATATCATCTATATAGACAACATTCTACTAATGACACTGGATCCCATTGTCCTGCGATGTCTTAATGTTCCTCATTGTCCTTCTGCTCCAGGATCTGGGGTTCGTAAAAAAAGTGGAGAAGTCATATCTTGTGCACTTTTGGTCAGTCCGGTTTCTGAGCTTCTTTGTGCATATGACTCAGGTGGTGCCCTGTCTCCCTCTCTCCAAAGTGGCCATGATCAGAAAGGATGTCAGACACTTGATCCGAAGCCCTTAGATCATTTTGTGGGAACTGACACAGATAATGGGTCTGCTGTCATCCTTCTTTCGGGACCTTCCATCTTCCCGGGACGCATGCATTATTGGGCCCTACTATGCCTGACGGTTCGCTATCTCAGAACTTTAGCTAATACTTGGTTTTGTTCCTTTCGGACAAGGTGCACCTGGAACTCCATTGTTGGCTTCGACGATTTTCGGCTGTTACAGACTGCCATTTGTAACTGTTATTTTATTTGACAAATTGCCCTGCTTCCCTGTGTTATGGAGAAGCCTAATTGCCAGCCTTCTGCCCCATGACTATGGACCTAGTGGGTATGGCGATTTGACTGTATTTGTGGGATCTGAGCGCTGTTTGGATATATTGAGCGCTCAGATCCAAGCCATCTGGGGATAGGTTGAATGTGGGGGTTCTGTTCAGTATCATAGGAGTTATGTATTTTTGTGTCTTTTGCTAACATGTGGTTAATGGGGTCTGCCTCTATCCCTGGATATAAGTGGATTATTTTCCCCATTGTCTCATGGATAGAGGGCTCTGTAAAACCGGTTTGGACCAGATAACCATGCTGCCAGCCAGGCCCCAAAATATACTTTTGCTAACTTTTGAACCCCTTGTCTGATTTGTGCCATTTTAATATATTTTAATATGTTGCTCCCCTGAATGGATTGATTCTAAATATGCAATTTGTATGAAGATTGGATGTATGGTTTTAAAGTTACAGGGTATGGGTAAAAACTGTATTTTTACTGCCTGTGTTTAATTATGTTAACCCATTGTGTACCATAATTAGATCACAGGCAGAGGGGAGGATTTTTGTGTGTAATTGCTGGGAGTGTTTCTGTAATGTATGTTTATTATTGGTTGCTGTGTAAAACCCTGTGGGTGGTCCTATATCAGGGAAACCTGCATAAAAGAAGGTTCTTTGTGTGCCAATAAACAGAATGACTTGACCCTCTTACTTGCAGCCATGACTCATGTTTGTAGGGGACAGCTATAATCACTACAGGGATTGCTATGCTCTTCATACTCCCTTAGCTACTGAGCTCTTGTAAGAGCTGTTGTTCCTGATCCTGCTTCGCCCTATAGAAGGAAGAGATTCACCTATTGGAACTTGGAGCCTGGTCGTAGGTCCAGGGTGGATAGCAGACGACGAGATCCTAGCCCAGCAGCGGCGGTTCGTTGAGTCTGCAGTACTTATGGTGTCTACGGGGCTGATGGTCCTTTGGTGAGCGCTAGGAGCATCCTTTCTACGGTCCAACTTCCAGCCAGCCTGGAGGCAACCGTAACATTGGCTCCCCTCCAGACTTTCTCCTGAATTTTTCCCTGTACTGGTGGGATGCCAACTATTGACCTCGTCATTCACAGTGTTTCGCGTGTTGGATTTCCTTCGGTAGTGTTCCTCATCTGGCTCCTGGTTTTCTCATGACGTGGCGATGGATGCGTTCATCCAGGTCTTGCCGTTCATGGGGCGTATATGTTGCTGTCTTTCTCCATGATAAATTGGACTTTCCATCAAACCCAGCGAGAGTGTAGATACTCTTGATCACACCACTGTTGAGGAGTCAGCTGTGGTTCCTTTCTTCTACATCTGGGGTTTGTCGTGCAAAGTCCCGTCACTGCTTCCTGCCTCTGGGTTTCTCCTTTGGACTCCGGTTGTGGTCCCGCACATGTTGATGTTTGAAAGTTGCAACTCGAGAGTTGCACTGGGACTGTTGGACGCTGGGCACTAGGCGATTCTCTACACATCCAGCGGGCCTGACATTGCTGGTGTCTGGAGAGACATTTTGATCCCTTTGTGGCCCAAGTCGTAGGCGTCCTGAACATCATTGGCTGTATAGTTTTTTCAAGGTAAGTCTTTCCCGGCCTATTTTTGTCTTCCGGTTCTCCATTTTGGTGGCTTATGTTCCCTCTCAGGGCTCTTGCATTGGGATAAGCCTCTCAGTCTGTAGGCTGCTCTGAGGTATGCATCTTTCAAGACCCCTGCTTCGCACTATTCCTTTAGTTTCCTTGGGGACTAACCAGTTAATGGAGATTGGTCTCCCCATCAGCTTTCAGCTTGGCTGGCTTTTCTCCTCTGTCTTCTTATTGCGTCTCAGATATTTGCACTGTTGACGTGGATGTTTTATTCTGTTTCTGACAGTGTTTCATTTTTCAA